TCCTCGGGAATGTTCTCGGAGCCGATCGCACTTCGAAACGTATCGAGTTTAACCTTCGCCGCCGCACCGATGGCGATCTTACCGAATCCGAAACGCGGAGGAATGGGTTTCGCGTACAATTTGGAGCGCGATTCGGTGAGACTTCGCAACACGCGTTTGTACGCGGCGTCCGCGGCGAACGAGTCGCGATTCACGGCCAGGCAAGCCACGGCCCAGGCGTAGGCGGCTCGCGAAGCCGTTATGTCGTCGACATCGTCCGGTGTTCGTCCCGCCAAGCGGTACGGATCTTTGACGAGATACGTCATGCAACGGGTGGCCAGATCCGTCAGTCGCTTGTCCGCGATAAAGTACATGCATTTCGCGAAGTGCTCGGCTCCGAGCACAACGTACATACGCCAATCGGGGAAAGTGCGGCGATTCTCAACGCGCGGGAATCGCTGCGCGAAGTCGCGCATCACGCTCAGGGAACGCGCGTACGTCTCCAACGACGCGTTGGAATTATTTTCCGGTGTAGCGACGTAAGACAGCAATTTATCCTGCAGACCCATCATTAATCTGAAATTGCGCTCGTTGAACGGCCAACGCGCGTAGACGCTGGTCGTGGTGATCAGTTTATCGATATTCTTCTTCTTCCTGGAGGCTCCACCGCCGATAACGTTGGCGAGGATTCGCGCCAACTTGGTGGCGCTCCTCGATACGGTCGTGCCCACGGAAACTTCGGATTCCAAACGATACGTCCAGATTTCATTTGGAGCGGCACGCGATCGCGGTATACTGACGATGGTCGACCAATCTAGAGGAAGCGGCGGAGAAACATTCTTCCGCCGCAACGACGCGTCCGGATCGCCGATAACCGGAAACGCTAATGGATTACCGCGACATTGAACCTGCGAACGAATCAACGTAGCGACGAAGAGAAACACCATCAATACGCATATGGTGGCTAGAAAAACCTTGTTTTCGTTAATACGACCCATACCAAATCGATTGCGTCGGATCCCCCGTCACGATGGTTGTCGCTGGAAGGAGTATCGGCGTTGCCGAAATCTTATACATATCGCGCGAAATGAAAACTAATCGATCGAAACGATTCGAATAGAACGAAGAGAAGTATCGCGCGTCACGCCAAATCCAACGTTGCAAACATCTAAGAGAAAAATAAAAAAAACGACGAAGATGGCGAAGATCGTCGCGACGATCGTCGCGATCATCGCATTAGCGCCGGTGATATCCGCCGGCGCACCTATAGCGCTCTGCTGACAGATATCGCCCACCAGCACGATGCGTTCGTCGCGCAATAACTCGAAGAGAATCTCCATGAGAGTACCCTCCAGTTGACCGAATTCGTCGACGAAAAAAACGGGCCGAGACGGCCGATCGTCGAGTTCCGCGTTGTCGTCCGCGACGCGGAGCGAACAAAGATTCCGTTGCGCGAAACATCGTCGCTGTTTCTCGCGCGCCGCCACGGCGCGCCGCTTCAACTCGTCTATACCGGTACGTTGCAGTTCGAGCCACGCGTCGAGCGAGCGAATGCCGAGACGTCGCATCAAGAAAGCGTCCACGGTATACGTCTAAATGTTACGATCGCCTCGTCCAAATCTCATCTTGATGGATTGCGCGAACAGTCGCTTCTTCACGAGATATATCACACCGCCGTGAGGATAGGTCTTCAACAGGAGGCTCAACATGAACGTTTTTCCCGCGCCGGCGACACCGTCCACGACGACGCGCGCATCGTCGCCGCCGCCTTCTTCGCGGGCCGATCTCGAACGTCCATCGAGAACGGCGCACACCGCGGCGAACGTGTCGCGCTGTTCTAACGTCAGAGACACAAAGCGACTTGTTCGTCGCTTCGTCTCGTTTATTCGCGGCGCGATAGTCGACAACGCCGTTAATTTTGGAGCCGTTCGCCGAGAAGGAACGCGCGACGTTTTTCGAGCGGCCCAACCGAGAAATTTCGCGCGGTCGTTCCAAATCCTTGACGGTCTCGACGCGACGCACTCGCACGAGACGTCAAGCTTCTCGTCGACGAGCACCTATCTCCTCGGGTCGTTGATCACGGCGAAGAGCTCGGGGTCGCGGCGTTCCTCGTTCGCGTCGTCGATCCCGCGAAGACTCGAATCAACACCTTCGACGAATACGTTTTCGTCGTCGACGTCGTCGGACGCATCGTCGCCTTCGATCATCGCCATAGCCGCGGATTCGCGCATCGCTTCGTCGTTCGAGAAAATCCATATTCGCGAGGATTTGATCGGAATCGCGAAGAACGTCGGTTCTTCCCGCAACGAAATCGGAAAAGTGGACACGAGCAACATCCAGCGCACGAAGAGATCGAGCAGCTGCTCGGGATCGTAATTCTTCGTCCGTGATCGGATATTCGCGTTTTCCGTCGTCGTTATACTCACTCGAACGAAGACTCGATCGAAAACACGAACGCGTTCCGCTATACAAACGTCGCTCGATGCTCGGACAACTTTCAACGAACGTACGTAATCGTCTTCGAGAGCGATCGATCGCTCGCACATCTCTCTCGACGTCGACGTCGACGTCGACATTGGCTCGTCCGAACGCGTCCGCGATACGTTCAATCGCGCGATTCTATACGTTTCGGCAATCCCGTCGCAACACTCGCGAACAAATTCCCTCTCGACGTCGGTATCGAGCTTGTCCAGCGGCACGCGTTCCGGCGAGAGATGCAGATCGAGCGATATTCGCTCGATGTTGTGTTGCTCGAGATATGTGTCGTGTAACAAAGGACGCGTTATCCGATCCAAACGATCCAAACTAGCTACGTCGAGAGCGAAAGCGGCGACCATCGCGATCGCGTCGATATCGCCCGACGGGTGAGAAAGATACGAGCGAGAAACGTACGCGCTAACGATACGTTGTTAATCGATTACGATAACGCTACCGGGGGGGACGATTTAGCGTCGTCGACGACAATGTTGCTTATTAAATGTACGCACCGCCGCGTTGAAATAACCATCATCGTTTCACTCCTCGACGAGTGAGACGTCCGCTGCCGCCGCGTCGGCTATCGCGCGAGACTCCTCGAACTTTTGCGCGAGGAATCGTAGAAAGTCGTCCGGAGAGACGGGTGCGCGCAACAAACCGTCCTTTACCAACTGCGCCACGAACTCGGCCAATTTGGCGCGATGGAAAAATTGCTCGTCGAAACCTAGGCGCAGCAACTCCTCTTTATTTCGCGACATCCACTGTAGCGCGTAATCGTAATCCGCGTCGGTCCACGCGGTCTCTATGGCGATCTGCCGCGCAGTCGCGGCGTCCACCGTGAGCGGAGTGCGATATTCGAAAAAAGGTTCCAAGTCGTCGACCAATCTCGCCACGTCCGCGAGATTGCCGCTAACGGCACCACCTCCGCTCGCGGTAGCGGAAGCCCGCGACGCTTCAACGCCGCGCCCATCGAGACGAGCCGTCGTCATCGTCGCGGATACCGGTTCCGCGACGCTTATCGTAGTTCCTCGATCCGAATACGGCGTCACGGATATCGCCACCGATGCCGGTCGACAAGTATTCCAGGAGCATACGTTTACGCCGCTGCTCGTTAAACCGGAGCGCATCACGCGATCCGTAACGCTCGTAGCGCGAACCGCCTCCGCGTAATCCTCCCTGGCGGCTCGATCGTCGTCCTCGTCTCCGGCGCTCGTGTTGACTCTAGCCGCCATGCGCATCGGTTTCGCGCGATACGAATATTCGTCGATACCCACGATTCGATCGTTCGCCGCAACATCGCTCTTCACTCGCGTCGAGAATACGTACAATTGCTCTATCTGCGGGAGCAGAGGAGCGTTGTCGAGCGCGTCGCCGTTAACGTCTTTCTCCGTGCCGTTCTCCGCGAAATCATCGAGTCCGCTCGACGGCGAGGTGTACTCGACCAAAGGGACCTGCAAGCGAGCTCGTATTTGAAAAAAACCTGGTTTCATGAGCATCGCCGGCGCGATGTACGGATAGAATTGGCGCTTGGAAAATTTAACGTCGCAATCCTCGCCGCTGGCATTGACGCGAACGAACACGCTGCCGCGCGCCACTCGACGCGCGAAGACGCCCGAATCGGCGTCCACCTCGAGGGATGGGAATCGCATGAAATCGTGAATAAAGTGAGCCGCGGTTTGCATGGCGAACGCGCTTTTAACAATATCGACGAATAAAAGCAGCTTATATTATAAGTCGCGCTACTTTACGCCACGTTAGGTTCGGTCTTCGTCTTCGCGCGCCGTTAACCGCACGGTCATGGAGAACGGTGATTCTTTGTATCTGGGTAGATTAATCGTAGACACGTTCGCCGACTTGCGACGCGATCGGTTCATCGTTCGCTCGTCGTCGTTCGAGCGCCACTCTATGCCCTTTTCCATCACGGCCGATGACGTATCGTTGCTGCTGATCGGCGTATTCAACGCGATAGCGAACTCGTCGGGCGAATCCACGCCGTCCGGCGAATCGTCGCCGTCGAGCATCGGGACGCTGATCAGATTCATAGATTCCATCGAGAAACGACCGATATCGTTTGTCGGAGTACCGACTCGTTCGGTCGAGGATCTATACGCCTTCTTCCGCGATAATCGCGATTTCACGTCCGATCTAACCGATAGCGTCCGCTTGCGATTATACGAGAGGCTACTCTCTAAATTTCTTAGAGTGAAAATGCACTCGAAAAATTGAGTGACTGGTCAAGTCACTCTAGTTAGAGTGATTTTTCACTCATAGGAGTGAATTCTTCTCACTTTTTGTTGTAGAGTGAAAAATTCACTCTGTAAAGTAGAGAAAATATGTATACTCTATTTTGTAGAGTGAATATTTTCACTCTATGTAGTATAGAGTGAAAATTTTTATTCGTTAAGAGTGAGTGACGCGCATGTGAACCGCGCATGCCGCACATGAGTCCGCCGTTAGCAATACTGCGTATTGTCTCGCGACATTACCACGTGCTATTATTATACGTTTCTTAAATTATCCAATTTCTTAGATTACTATTTTCAGAAATGCCAACGTATCTTCCTGAGGTAAGTGTTTATAAGAATTTATGTAGTTCATTTATCGATATGTATAAATTATATAAATTCAACATATAGCATGTCATAAAGAATGATTAATTTATAGGTTAGTTATAGGTTAATTAGATTGTATTTCTTACTAAACTAAATTATGTACAAGAAAATTATATATAAATTGAGACCTCACAGTATGTGTTTCGCCGTACATGTAGTTTTGTTACATTCGGCTTGTATATCGATAAACAAATAGCTATAATGAAAAATAATCTAATGACTTGTAGCTCGCTAAATCGACAAATATATACCACGTGCTGTGAGATCTCGATTATAGTCGTTTATTAAAATAATAATAAATAAATCCTTTGTTAGGAGACTTTAAACAGTACGGAACAATTGAAACACTTTCTCATACAGAATGGAATTTCGGAAGACGCCGTCAACATCTTAAAAGGTAAAATTTGATTCAATTTGTAAAAAAGGCAACATTTACACACATACCATTAATTCACATACATTAATTCTTAAAGCATTAAAAAGTACAATAAAAAAATAAAAGTTTTCTGTATACTAAAAATATATTTTGGAAATTAAATTATATAAGGAAAAAATTTATTCTTCGAGCAATATTTACAGAGTCCAGTCTTATAATATATAATATTGTGTAAATTATTTTAGCTTTTAATGTCGTTTTATTATTATAGTAATTTAAAATAGTGCCACTTGAAAAACACACACGGATTTTAATATAAGATGTAACTATAAATATATATTATAATATTTAATTATTTATATTTAATTATAAATATATATTTATAATATTTTTTTTATTGACAATTTCATCGGTTCAATATTAAATTTAATAAATAAATAAATATTTTGGGAAATTATAATAAATATATATTGCTCACATCCACACAAAGAGATTAGAATATGATTCGTCTGAATAATTTATAATTAATATATTATACACAATTACATACTAACGTTAGACTAACGTTATATAGTTCTGACGAATTATATTCCAATCTCTTTGCGTAGATGTGAGCTATATATATTTATTAAATTAAATATTGAAATACAGCTACAGCTACAATTTTTCAGTTTGATTTGTATTTTTTTATGTACTATTTTTATATGTATTACAGATACCCGAGAATAGATTAAAGTTAAAAAGTGATTAGTTTTTGTGTACATTTACATATCTTTATTTCTGTTTGTTTTACTTTTAAATTTAATAAAAAATTTAGTTTCAATTTAATAAAAAATTTTATGATTTTTAAGGTAACTTTAAATATTATAAAAAATGACTTTATTTAAATGTTTTAAATGTAAAATGTTATTACCTACAATTAAACAATATTCTTTGCATTTCCGTCGTTATCATGCTATAATGGTTAGCCGATCTTATTCATCAGGGTTTTATTGCAATCAAGATACTTGTGATAAACATTTTTTAAGATTCGATTCTTTAATTCGCCATATTAAAAAATGGCATGTCTCTGATGAGATATGCGATTCAGATATCCATTCAATGAATTCTGATAATTCTAATATTTCCGAAAAAATCGAAATACATTCAAAAGGAAAAATACATGAATTTTGTGAAAATAAAGACAATATTAATTTTCAAGACTGTATTAATTTTCAAGAATCAAAAGAATTTGATATTTCTAAAAGTGCACAAAAATTTATAGCAAACTTGAGAATGTTATCCAATTTCACTGGTACGGCTATAACTGCTATAACTAATGCAACACAGTGTTTAGTATCAGATGTTACAGATTTTATTCGCGAGGAAATGCATAATTTTTGTAAAAAACAGAATATAAACATAGAGTCTCCTGATGTTCAGGAATTATTAAATAAATTAAATTTTGATAATTTATTTGAAAAAGTGGATACTTTACAAGCTCAAATAAAAGCAGTCAAAAATACTTATCATTATATAGATTCAGTCGAAATACCTCTTGGATTCAGACTGCAGCAATATTTTGATAGAAAAGAACAAATGTGGAGACAAAAAAAAATTTATGAAACTTTTCAGTATGTCCCAATTATAGAAACACTGAAATTAATAATGTCTCACTCATCAATGCGGAATTATGTTCGTGTTGAACAAAACAGTTCAGATAATTTACTTGTAACTTTTAGAGATGGAATAAGTTATAAACAACATCCATTTTTTCAACGTTATCCAGATGCATTAAGAATTCAACTATATTATGATGATGTAGTTGTTAATAATCCATTAGGCTCTAAAGTTCATCCTCACAAAATTGGAGCTTTTTATTTTGTAATTCAAAATTTGCCTCAATATATTAACTCTTCTTTAGGAGGCATTCATGTTCTTAGTTTGTGTCATACTGCTGACATACAAAAATATGGCATGAAAGCTATATTGAAACCATTTTTGCTGGATCTAAGTAAACTTGAAAGTGATAATGGTGTAAATATTATATATAATGGGACACATTTTATATTAAGAGCAAGTATTGCTGCAGTTTGTGCTGATGGATTGGCCGCACATCAGTTATTGGGATTTTTAAGTCCATCTGCTAAATATTTTTGTAGACTCTGCATGATCAATAGAGATGATTTCAAGAATAATAGAAATTTAAAAGAAGTTTCTTTACGTACAAAACAACTACATGACAAACAATTAAAAGAAATAAATACTCAACGAACATTAAAAGAAATTGAACATTCTAAAACAAAGTCTGGTATTTTAGAAGATAGTGCATTACATTCTTCTCGCTTTTTTCATTGTACAAACAATTTAGTCTTTGATCCTATGCACGATATTTTAGAAGGTATCGCACCAATGGAATTAAAATTGGTTTTACATCATTATAATACCTGTAACGATTATAATTTTAACATAGATTTGTTTAACAACAGAATAAACTTATTTCAATATGGTTTACCAGAAAATAAAAATAAACCTTCTGCAAATTTTTCTTCGGCTTCTATTAGATATCAAAGAGATTACAAACTTTCACAAACTGCTGTACAAACATGGTGTTTATTAAAAGTTTTTCCTTTTTTGGTTTTAGACTTAATACCTGAAAATGATACATATCTATCGTTAATTTTAATATTGAATAGAATAAACGAAATAGTATTCGCTCCAAAATTGAGACACTCTATTTTACCATATTTATCAGAATTAATCGAAGAACACAATTGTTTATTCCGAGAATTATTTCCAGCTATAAGTCCAATTAATAAGCATCATCATTTAACTCATTACCCTCAGTGTATATCTTTTTCTGGTCCTTTACGTTGGTTAAATTGTTTACGATTTGAAGCGAAACATAATGTTTTAAAAAAATATGGATCTATTGTATGTAATTTTAAAAATATTACAAAAACCTTAAGTAATTATTGTCAGTTATCTCAGTGCGCAGTTTGGGGTACTAATGAAGAACCAAGAATCAAATTAAAATATGTTAACGGATCAAAAGTTTATGTTGAAAATACTTATTGCTGGCAGCAATTATATCACATGAAATATCAGAGTAAAGACAAAATTATTAAAGTTGATAAAGCAGAGGTTTACAGTATAGAATATCGAAAAGGTTTGTTTGTTGCTCTTGACAGTGGAGTACAAAAAAATAATGAAATTACATTTGGTTGTATTCAAGAATTAATAATACTAAAAGATAATGAACTGTGGTTATGGTGTGAAGAATGGCAGTATCTTGGTTATAATGAATCATTAAATGCTTATCTTGTGCATCCTAAATTAGATTCATTTAGATTTATAAACACTGATGAGTTATGTGATCTAAAACCATTTGCATTATGGACTGATTTTAAGACTAATTTATCTTACATTGTTCTTCATCATATATTATTATAAAAATACTTTATAATTATATCTTGTATATAATCATTGTATATAATCACAAATTTTTTATTTTTTATTTTTTTATATTTATGTATATTAAAATTTTAATTCATCCATCTAAATATCTTGTACATATATACATTTGCTTTTTATTTAATCTACACACTGTAAAAAGTTAATATAAAATTATATTATAAATGATATGGGAGATATCAAAATACAAAGATATGAACATCATAAAGACATCAGAATATAGTTAGTACATGTCCGTTGTATTTATTATTACAAAATTTATAATTTTTTAAATACATTTCTTTAAGTTAAATTCTATATTTTAGATGAAGGAGTTGACGGTTACGCTTTCATGGAATTAACTGAAAATGACTTGAAAGAACTTAAAATTAAGATTGGCCCAAGGAAAAGAATATTAAATTTAATTAATGCTTGCCATAATGTGGTAAGAGCAAAGATTAATCTTATATACCTTACACACACACACACACACACACACACACACACACACACACACACACACATTTAGTACAAGTTATTAATCATACATGAATATTAATCATTATTAATCATACATTCATATATGAATGAAAGTCTTCACAGGAAATTTTACTTGATGAAATAAATTTAGTGCAATTAAATACGCAGAACCAAATAATTAACAATGAAAATGTACAAAATAAAGAAAATATTTTATCTACAACAGAAAATTCGTCTAGTCCACAATGCCAAAAAGCATTAGTTCCTTTTGAAAATAAAAGCAAGGAGGTAAAAAATTGATATTAAAAATATAAATATTTAATATTTTTATTTAATATTTCTATGACATATAATTGTTGTTTATAGATACATCGAGATTTTGATATTAGATCCTGGATTAAAGAAAATGAAAAAGAATCTAAAAGAAATCCATCACTTATCAATATTTTAGATTCAGGTATTATTCACCCTACTAATAGACAAGAACTTATAAGAATTTGTTGTGCGGGTTTAATACAACTTAACAATAACAATTTGTAAGTAATAATATTTTGTTATTGATTAAGTATTGATATAGTATTGATTATTGATATAGTATAAACAATATTTACGTAATATTATATATAGATATGATTATATTTATTTTTCTTGTTAAAGATATCCATCACATGAATTAAAAATCGAATTAGCGAGGCAAATTATTACACAGTTTCCGAAACTTCGATCAACTCTTTCTGAAAACGGCTACGTAAGAATATATATTTTATATATTTTTTATATATTTTAAAATTGAAATATAACATAAACCTATTTTTTTAATTTTATGTTGGTTTTAGGAACATTTTTATGATAATAAAACAAATCAGGGTTTTATAGAGTATCGTTTAAAAACTATGAGAAAACATTTAAGTCCATCTAAAAAAAGAAAAGCTACTTCTAACGAATTAAAAATAAAAAAATCAAGAATATTAAAAGATATAAAACAAGATAAATATTTGGAAGAAGATATATTTACATTAAAAGTAAATATTATTTGATAATATAATTATATACAATTAGGATAATGAAATAGTGTGTTAGATCAATAATTATCACTATCATAGGTTGCTGAGCTTGCTTTAAAAATGCCGAATGAAACAAATAAAGATGATATATTTCGATTGAGCGATGAAACGAGATGTAATCGCCAAAAACAAATAAAAGAATCTGATCAAGAACTAACATTGAGTGACATTTTAAAAATGTACCCACGTTTTAAGGATTATAAAGGCGAATTGGTTGGAAACAGTTTTATTTATCTTTTTTAAGTCTTTAATATATAAATGATGTCCTTATTATTAATGTTTTTTATAGATTCACAGAGAATTTATAGCTGAATTTCCAGATAATGATAAGTTTTTGGCACAATTTACTACTCTTTACGTGCCGAGAATTTTACAATATTGTTCCCTGAACGCACCATATTTACTACTACATGTTAATGATATTGAAGGTAATAAAATAAATCAGATAATCTACAAGATTTCTCTGAGTGTATATCTTAATAATCATTACTTTATTGTTACAGATAATATGAAAGCTTTAATTTTATTACCGCATTTATTGCCGTCTCCTAATTATACCAAATGTAAAAAGAAAAATGTAAATAATATATAAATATGTATAATTATTTATTCTAATAAAAAATATATTTTAATATAAAGTTTGTATACATATATTTTAGGACACAGAGGTAACATCAATGAAGAAGAAAAGACACCCAGTGGAATGTTCAACTTTATGCTCAAGATTAACAATCCCACATAAAAGTTTACTCATATTTAAAAATGTATGTATCTCTCTTCTAATTAAAAGCATCATTTTACTCAGCATTTTTATTCAATAAACATGGATAAATATTAATTAATTAATATTTATACTTTTAGGCACAAGATGATTTATTTTTAAATGAATGCTCGCAAAATAATAAAAATAAAAATGTGCAACCTTATTTAATATGTAGTAAGACCAGTGAGGAAAGAAAAGGAATATATTATATTAAGGCAGATGATCATTTAATCGAAATTGGAAACAATGGCTTGCAAGCTTTTGATATTTTATTAAAACTGCATTATTGTTTTGATATACATTTTTCTGCAGATTTGATTAATTTTTATAATTTTATCACTGGTTGCATACTACAGTTAATACAACCCAAAGCATGTTGTGTAGCATTTGATGTTACTCTCAAAAATTTATCTACAAACAAAAGCATTCATTTACATGAGTAAGTACATACATTTAATATATAGAGAGATAAATATATTAGAGATTTTCGGTTATTTTAATTTACTTATTAATAATAACAAAAATGTATATGCGTTCAATTAAAGTATCTGCTATTGTTATTCATTAATTTGTGCCAGCTACTTGTTTCAGCTTTTTTCTCTTTAGCATTTTTAAAATTATTCACTTTAATTTTAAAATAAATTTATAAGAAATGTGATAAATTTTTACAAGCTTCTATACGAGTTAAATATTTTATTGGAGAAATAATAAATTAATTATTTTTTCAGATCATCCGATTATGATGATGAAGAAATTTAAAATATACTTAAATTTTTAACTCTCGTGATTAAATTTCATATAATTTTTATTTTCATATAAGAAATTTAAAATATACTTAAATTTAACTCCCATGTGATTAGATTTCATATAATTTTTATTTTCATGTAAGAAATCTATATTTTGTGATTCAGATTTATTTTATATAATTGTTATTTTCATATAAGAAATTTAAAATATACTTAAATTTAACTCCTATGTGATTAGATTTCATACAATTGTTATTTTCATATAAGAAATCTATATTTTGATTCAGATTTATATTTAATATATATTTAATAACTAAAATATATTTAGCATAATAACTGTAATAGAATATTTCGATGATAATATACTAACAATATTCATAATTTTATATGTTAATATATATAATGTTATACATATTGATAATATAAATATGTAATATAAATATATAATATTCCTAATTGATAATATAAATATTTGTTCTTTTATAACTTGTGTTATTTTTAATCTATTTCTTAGTAGTTCTTATTAGTATTACTTGCCTTTTAACATAAAAATATTATTTTAGTTCCAGCTTCTGATTTCTTGTTTGCAATTATTTTGATTATCAATGAAGCAAGAAAATAGATACTTCAAATTACAAAATATATTGAAAGATAATGTTCATAAAATGATACTTGCGAATAGAGAGATTGGTATAGTATATTTCGAAAACTTGCTTTAATAATGAATAGCCATAAAATTAATATGATATCTAGTTTATTTTTTTAAATGTCATTTTGTCATATTAAATTACATTTACAATTTTATTTTCTATATTTTTTAAAAAAGTTTTTGTAAGATTGTAAACATGTTTTTTTTGTGTGTAACGTTAAATACATTTATATGACTGTGACAAGAAAAAAGAGAATTAATCGGCTTTTACACAGATAGCATGCTACGTGCGATATGCAACTTCTATTAGTTCAAATAAAAAGCAATGATTGCTTCTCATTTCAACTAATCGAAGATTTACGTCATATACATCATATACGTAACATGTTATCTTATTATTATTTTATGTTTCTAGCCATCTTTCATTCTTCTTTCCGTTTTCTAATGTATATACATGTTATCTTATTATCTATTATTAGAAAACGGAAAGAAGAATGAAAGACTGCTAGAATCTCACTTCCTAAGAATGAATCTGTTCACTCGTAATTGAGTGAAAAATAACTTGACGAAAGTGATGACTCCACTTTCGATCGAGTGAATTATTCACTTCGAACCGAGTGACACATTCACTTTACGTTCAGAGTTAAACAGTTCACTTTTGTGAAAAGTGAATTTTCACTAATTACGAGTGGCAGTATATTCACTATCACTTGGAGTGAATATTCACTCGTTTGGAGTTAGATTTCACTCTAAGAAATTTAGAGAGTACACGGCGATTGGGGCTCGCTCCCGCTTTGAGTCGTTTTTTTTCGCAAGTGGCGTTACGTTAACGCGTAATGGTAGGGGAGGAATCGCGAAACAATCGCGAGGCGTTTCGCTCCCCCCAGTCAGCTATTTCGAAATCAGAGCGTGCGGTCCCCGAAATCTTCAGCACCGCTGGACCGATCCGGCCGTTCGCACGGGGGAGGGTGCCGAAGATTTCTGTAGTACGTACGTATTACGTACGTATAGGTTATGTCGCGAGACTTCGACCTCGCGAAGAAATGAGAAAGCCGTCACTAGCGACGAGAAACTTTGCCGCTCGTCGCGAGCCACGAGCGTAAGAAATAAGAGCGAGCGGATATCTCTCTCGCCGAAATCAGCCGATCCGCTGAATTAATTCAGCCGCGGTTTTATTCGCGTTCGACTAACCCCCTCTAATTCCGACCGATCCATCCAACTATCCGGACGAATTCCGCTGAAGTCGCGATGGCCGAAACGAACGCGCAACTCGACGCTATGACGTTGAGCCGTAAGTTGAAGAACGTCGGCAGTAGTTTGAACAACGTGTATCAGACGCGCGTGGCGCAACTCACCGCGAGTTGGTCGAATTGCAAGCGCGTGCTCTGGAACACGCGCAATCTCATGTACGTGATCTGTATACTGTCCATAATGTGTCTGGTGTCGTCGATATTATCGTGGAACAAAAACTTCCAAGTCTTCGTGCAAGGCGCTTTCGTCATATGCACCACGTTCGGCGCGTTGGTAGTCAGCAAACAATCGTGCTTCGCGGTTTTCGACAACGGTCTGAACGCGACGGGAAACGTGGGCGCTAACTCGACCACGGCCGCGGTATAAGCTCGCGCTCGTCGAAGAAACGTGCGCGAGATTATGCATTATTTCGCAATCGTCTGCGCGCTCGTAACGATATTCGTCGTCGTCGCGAGTTCTCGCGCGTTCGCTATACTTTGGTCGAACGATCCCGGAGGATCGATATCGTACGCGAACGCGTGGAAGCGAGCGATCGCCGCGTTCGAGGCCGATGCTCTCGGAGCGAAAAACGGGTTTCTCGTGGATTATCGCGGGCGTAGATTTTCACCGAACGTCGTCGCTATCTACGCCGAAATCCGATGACACTCTTGGAAACGCGCGCGGCGACGGAAGCGACGACGGGGTCGTCGTCGTGCGACCGCTGGGTTGGATCGTTTATTATCGTCGCGGCGAGACGTTTTATTATTTAAACGGAGCGTTGCGCGCCAACGTCGGAAGACCCTGCGGGCCTAACGAATCGGCATCATCATGTTAGACGCGGTGGACGATTACACGAAAACAATGAATCTGCGCGTAGCTTGCATTAATCTCACCCCGAGCGGACTGAACGCAACGTTCGCCGTGGCTCGACCGAACTACGTCGTGCTTGATTACATGTTAACCGCGTCGCCGCGAGATTTCAACGACGTGATCAACGTCACGAGTGTACTGAACGCTCTCATCGAGAATCACTCTTTGTAACGGAGATAACGAAACGACGAACGCGACTGTATAAAGAGCGACCGAAAGCGTCCTCGCGTCAGTATCGTAATTCGTTTCTCGTCGCACCGATGCGGCTGATCGTTCGAGATGAATCGGCGATCCGATTCCGTCGAGCTTTACGAGCGACTTGATTATTTCGAAGAGTCGGCGAGTCGATTGGTCGAATGTCTCGCGAGTTTCGTACGAAACGCGATCGCACCCGCCGAGAATGAAGACGAAGCCTCGATCGAGATTCACGACGAGGCGTCTAACGCGTACCGAGCAACGAGCCGAATCGTTGTATCGCGACGCGCTTCGTTCGTTACGAGCGGCCTGTCGATTTTTTCAAATGACGAAAGACGATGCGAACAATGAACGATATTCGTGGACCGAGGCGCTGTACATCGTGATCTATCAACATCTGATATCGCTCGAAACGGATCGAATCGAGCCGATAACCAAGACGAAGAGCTCAAACTAGGCGGTAGACGTACTTTCCGTCAAACGTCGACATAAACGTTTTACCGTTTCTCGCGTCACGTACGCTAAATTAATATTTCGTCGTATAGCGAGAACGGCGAGTCTCGCGCCGTCTCGACGAGATTCTTCGCGAAGAATCTCGGTTACGTTTGCGTCGTTTGTTCCCGTCGTTTCATCAAACCGTTTCACTATATCCAACACATTCGCATGCATTATCGCTTCGGCATGTATACGTGTCGTTGGTGTAAACGTTCCTTCGTGCAATTGAACGGCCTCAATTATTACGAATCGATATGTCGCGATAATTTAGCGCGACCTCCGATAACAACGACGAGGAAAAGGATCCATCATTTCGAGAAATGCGACTCGTGCGGACGTTTCTTCTCCAACGGAACGCCTCTGAGGAACCATATCGTACGAGAGCACGGTCGATTCAACATAGATCTCGGCGTTAACAGGGAGCAGCAAAAAGAGATAAGACGTATTCTGCGAGAAGAGCGACAACGTTTGCTCGAAATGTAACGCGAACCTAATCGATGCACCTGTATCGCGATTCTATGTATCAACCGTACGAATAAATTAAATTTGCCACGAGATCGTTGTCGATTCGTTTCACGATCCTCCCTCGACAAGATGTACGAAACGATCAGAACGTATAGTTCGAATCGCGCTATTGGCCCATGCTTCTCTCCCCACCACTTCTAACGACACTCGCGCCTTCTGCGAACGAAAGGTTCAAGTTGTTCTCCTCGAAAAGTTTCTTCGTTTCGTTCGCAGATGGCGCTAGCGTCGCTAGAAGTGGTGGGGAGAGGTTCGAACCAATGGCGTAGCGTTTCGCTCTCCACTTCACGGTTTTAAAATCGGAGTGTACGAAGAGGCTATAAGAGCAGCGAGCCGTTCCCAAAATCTTCAGCACCGCTGGACCGGTCCGGCCGTTCGCACGGGGGAGGGTGCCGAAGATTTCTGTAGTACGTACGTAGTACGTACGTATAGGTTATGTCGCGAGGTAACTCCGATTTCGCGAGGAAAGAATAGCTGGGGAGAAGAGCTGCTCGACGCGAGAGTTCGCGGCGCGAGAAAACTTTTTTTCGCTCGACGCGAGAGTTTGCGGCACGAGAAAACTTTTTTTCGCCCGACGCGAGAGTTCGCGGAGCGAGAAAATTTTTTTTCGCTCGACGCGAGAGTTCGCGGAGCGAGAAAATTTTTTTTCGCTCGACGCGAGAGTTCGCGGCGCGAGAAAACTTTTTTTCGCTCGACGAACGACGAGTTACGAGCGACGAGAAACTTTGCGCGGGCGACGAGCGACGAGAAACTTTGTGCGGGCGACGAGCGACGAGAAACTTTGCGCGGGCGACGAGCGACGAGAAACTTTGCGCGGGCGAAGAGCGACGAGAAACTTTGTGCGGGCGACGAGCGACGAGAAACTTTGCGCGGGCGACGAGCGACGAGAAACTTTGCGCGAGCCACGAGCGACAGCTCGTCTTCTTGACATTTGCACGCCTCGCAATCCAGATCGATGAAGAACGCCGCCGCGGACGCGAGCAGCACGCGCGTGACATCATCCGATCTCGAGCGGCGCGAGAACTCGGGCAAAGTTTTTTTTTTCGCGAGCC